TCTGGGTCTCTTTCCTTTCCATATAAAGTTTGTAATTGTTTTTTCCATCTCTTTGAAGAATATCATTGAAATCTGGATTGGGATTGCACTATATGTGTAAATTGCTTTGGGCAGTATTGACATTTTCACAGTGTTAATACCATCCAGGAGCATGGTACATTCTTCCATTTTTGTAGGTCTCTTTGATTTCCTGTAGTATAGTGTTTTGTAGTTTTCTTTGTATAAGTCCTTTGTTTCCAAATTTTTCTTTTTAAATTGTGGTCCCCTAAGTATTGTGGACTCAGCTATCTATTCTGCTGTAAAAAATTTAAACCATGTAGGTATGACTATAGAAACAAATTTTCAGTGGTTAAAAAAAAATCTCCATATAATCTTCTCTTTGAAATATTGTTGAATAGTAAGCTGCCAGAAAATATGAACAATATTTCTTGCATTTGTCAAAAAATTATGTAAAGTGTGTGCTGACCTTTATTATTATTGTGCCACTGTTTCAAAAATCTGTTTCCATTTTATAGGCAATGGTTGGTGCTTATAACATGATGGGAGAAAAACAATTTCTTGAGCAAATTTTGGAAGATCAACGTTTTTTCCATAAGTTCAAAATAACTGATGAAATCGATATTATCACATTGAAAGATTACATGAAAGTAAGGAATTTAAATTTAGATGTTGAAAACAAGCAAGCAGCCTTACTGACACTATACTCCAAGAAGAAATAATCATACATTTTTTTAAATTGTGTGATAACATGTGACATTTTAGCCATTTTAAAGTGTACAATTCATTTTAAGTAAGTTCACAGTATTGTGCAATCATCTAGGTCCAGAACCTTTATATCACTCCAAAAAGAGTACCTTGCACTCAGGAAGCAGCCTTTCCCCAGTCTCCTCTCACCTTAGACCCTGTCAATCACTAATCTGCTTCTTAGTTCTATAGACTATTCTGGATGCTTCATATAAATTGATTCACACAATATATGTTTGCCTTTTATATAACCAAATGTTTTCAAGGTTTATCTATGTTGGAGTATATATTAGTACTTTATTTTCCTTTTTATGGCTGAATAATGTACCACATTTTCTTTATCTGCTGAGTATGTTATATGTTATTGTTGTTAAGTGCCATCGAGTCAGTTCCAACTCATAGCGATCCTGTACAGGGTTTCTGAAGAGTGGCTGATGAGTTTGAACCACTGACCTTGCAGTTCAAATCGACCTTGCTGTCCTTATCCAGCCCTGAGTATACCTGAAAAAAAAAATCAGGGTTCTGTTAGCAATGGAGAAGTAGGGAATGGTTATTGGGCAAGCAACAATGTATGCCACAGTCTCCCTGAGGCAGTGCTGACTGAGCTGAAGTGTAGGGGTAAACAGTTGGTGAATTCCAGGCAAGGGCTCAGTGGCAGGAGGGGATGCCAGAACCCAGAAGCAGGTCTGCGGGACTGGAGAAGAAAGAATACAGAGGAGTGTGGTGTGCAGTCAGGTTAAAAGGGTGGTAAGAGATTCATCATGGTAACTGTTGAAATGTTAACCCTGCCATCATTTAAAAGACTGTAAATATGCAGTCAGAGAAACTTGGTGAAGGTGAATTTATCAGTGTAAACAAAGAAAGTCGCTGTGATGAAAAGGACAAGGCTGGAAAAAAAAAATCACGTGAAAGGAACTCGGAGATGTTTCACGTTTAAAATACAAAGGATAAAATGTTGGAAGCTGATCCAAATTTATGAGTATGACAAGTCAAGGCATAGAAAAGATGATAGCTCTGTAATGTAAGTTACATGACAACAAGAAGGTAAGTACTTCTCAAACTACACTTCTGTCCTTATTTGTTACTTTTTTTAGCTAAATGTTTTAGTGTGTTAAAATACATAAACTACTTTTGGTAAGTTTTTTTATACCTTCATTGAGGTTTGTATACCATATTTGTATAATCCACCCATTTAAAATGTACAACTCAATGATTTTTAGTATATTCAAAGTTAAATGCATCTTTTAAAAGAAAACCCTTCAATTTTCAATGTTTCTAATGTTTAAAATTATAGCACACTATTTATAAGTTTTCTTGTTTTACATTTTCCTACACACTTAGAGCGTTTTAATGTTTGTGTGAAACTTTTTAAAGGTCACAGAAAATCACAAATTTCCCCATTGATTATTAGGATCGCTTTGTATGTTTTCAAGTTGTAGTTTGTTGTTGTTAAGTGCCACCAAGTCAGTTCTGACTCACAGTGACCCTGTGTAGGTTTTCTGAGGAATAGCACCAATGCTTTCAGCTTAGTCATTCTTATATCCTGTATTACCATACAAGGAGCCGTGGTAGTGTAATGGCTGCTAACCACAAGATCCAGTTTGGATCCACCAGTTACTCCTCGGGAGAAAGATGAAGCTTTCTGCTCCTGTAAAGATTTACAGCCTCAGAAACCCTATGAAGGGTTGCTATAAGTGGAAATTGACTCAATGGCAGTGGGTCTGAGCTGGTTTTATTTGGCACTACCATGCAAAGCGAGGACATCTGTATGCTTTCTTTCCTGAGAGTGGAGTAATAAGATGGGTAAACATCTCAGAACTGCCAGTGATCTGCTCTGCCATTTATTAGCTGTTGATCTTGGGCACGTATTTTAAAACCTCATTAAGTCCCATTGTCAAAAGATCACAGAATTTACAGACTTGAAGATGAAAATTTCCAACATTTTATCTCCAGTCTTTTAAATGATGGCAGTGTCACCATTTCCCCAGTCACCAGTTTCTTTTAGAACTCCATTTAGGTACAATTTGAATGGCACTTCAGTGTTAACACTTTTCATTGCTTTGCTGACCAATTCTCTCTTTTGAATATCTATTTTTGTAAAGTGTAAAGTAACCCTGGGAGACAAGGAAGTAGTACAGCTACACATTTTGCTATCTGTGTGTGAACTGAATAGCAGATGCTGAGTGACAAGTCACTGCCAGACTTTGAAAGAAGTGACATGATTTGTCACTAATCATGATGCTGTTGTTGTTGTTAAGTGCCGTTGAGTCGGTTCCGACCCATAGCGACCCTGTACAGGGTTTCCGAGGGTGTAAATCCTTACGGGAGTAGAAAGCCTCATCTTTCTCCCGCGGAGCGGCTGGTAGTTTCAAACCGCTGACCTTAAGGTTCGCAGCCCGATTCGTGATATGTATCTGTTATTTACATAATAATCTGATGATATAGAGGCAAAGTTTATACTTTATGTAATTTGTTGTTGTTGATGTTGGTACGTGCCATTAAGTTGGTTCCGACTCATAGCAACCCTGTATAGGGTTTCCAAGGATCAGCTGGTGAATTTGAACCACTAACTTTGTGGTTCAGACCAACCTTGTGGTCCAGTACATTGTGTGTGGTGGTGGTGGTTATGTGCCATGGAGTCGGTTCCGACTCATAGCAACCCTACATAGAGTTTCCAAGGCTGTAGATCTTTATGGGAGCAGAAAGTCTCATTGTTCTCCCACGGAATAGCTGGTAGCTTCAAACTGCTGACCTTAAGGTTAGCAGGCCTACTCGTAACCACTATGCTACCAGAACGCCTTGTATTTTGTGTTGTTGTTGTTGTGAAATGCCACTGAGTCGGTTCCGACCCATAGCAACCCTGTATAGGGTTTCTGAGGAGCAGCTGGTGAGCTTGAATTGCCGACCTTGCAGTTCAAATGGCTTTGCAGTCTGGCACATTAACCCACAGTGCCTGGCTGTTATTTCATTTTCTAGCATTGTAGTAAGGAGCTCTAGTAGCGGAGTGGTTACAAGTCGGGCTGCTAATATCACGGTCAGCAGTTTGAAACTACTAGCTGCTCCGCAGAAGAAAGATGAGGCTTTCTACTCCCATAAAGATTTACAGCCTCGGAAACCCTGTACAGGGTCGCTATGAGTCAGAACCAACTCCACCGCACATACCCACCAGCACTGTGGTACCTCCTGCTTTATTCCTATCTCTTCAATAAATATTTGTAATTTTTAATGGATTATATAGATTTGTATTATTTAAATTCATAATTTGATACTATTTTAAATTGGAAAGAAGTGAGATTTTTACAAATGCTCCAAATAAAAGCAGTGACATTCACCACTTACCATCAAAGATGAACTTGTCATTTCTAAAAAATACTTGTGCAAATGTCCTGTCAACCCAAGCATGTCATGGACAAACACTACCAGGTATGCTGAACACATAACTATAATCATTAATAATTGGCTCCCACTGAGTTTAATTTGTCTTACTTATATTTGCAATAAGGAGTCCTGGTAGCATAGTAGATTATGAACTGGGCTGCTTTCCGCAAAGTCAGCAGTTCAAATCTACAGTTGCTCTGTGGGAGAAACATGTACAGCCTTGGAAACCCTATACAGGGACGCTATGAGTTGGAATTGACTCAGTAGCACACCACCACTACTGCCGTATTTGCATTAACTAGTGAGTGAGTATGATATGATGTGCATGATACTGTGTGACATTCAAAGGCAGGAATCAAAGGAGAGACGACATAAAAAGTAAAAAAAAAAAAAAAAAAACCTCATAGAAGAATGATGCTGATGAAATTCAGAGCTGGCATTAACGAATGCTTTTTGGATTAAGTGACATTTGAGTGGAACCTTGGGAAATATATCCAAAAAACATTTTAGAGTACCCATAGCCAACCTTCATAATTGTTTTTTCCATACAGTATACCAGTCTCATGGATGAAATTCCTGCACGTTCTGGTGGCAGAAATAACCATTGGAGAAGATTAAACCTCGAAAACTTTCCCAGAAACACAATTATGTATGATATAGTTGATTATGCAGAGTCTGGGACACTCTCAGCCCGTCTACAAAAAGAAATAAAGTTTCTAACACAGAAACCAAAAACAGAAGAGATGCGTCAGCACCAGCTACAGATTGTTTCTGCAGTTAGGTAAAAATAATCCTTCATCAAGATTGCACTACTAGGGGCCTTACTGAAAATGATACCATTTTGCCAAATTGCTCACTCAAGATAAGAAGGCATATGGGAAAAAATAGGGTTGGTACCAACTGTTCAAAACTTATATATCTTTGTAACCAGAACACAAAAAGAACAATTGGAACCTGGGTAAATAACTTGGACCACCAGGCAGACAGTTTACTATGGCTGAAGTCTGCCACAGCAAATATAAAAAATATATATATATATATATGCAACAGTAGTAGAAATGCTATCAAATCTTTCATTAGAGCTGGTGGTGGGCACCAGTGCAAATGGAAGTAGAGCCTTGGACCAGTGTGGTAGACTTGTATGTGAACATGAGAAGCAGTGCAATGTGCCAAGAAGCAAGAGCCACCCAAGGCTGGAGGGTGGGGTGAGATGAGGAAGGGTGGGGGTTGTGCCTCTCTGGATACAGGTGCTAGTTTTTATTTTCAGAAATACTGCCAAAAGAGCTCCCATTGCCCGTGCAGCATGGAGTGGAGGGCTTTTTCCTTTTCTGCTAATGGTTATAATTCTGCTCTTGTTGTTCTGCCCCCCACCCCTTGCCTAGGATAAATTGCATATGAATTACACTGACATTATTCCCTTCTTCACCAATAGCTTGTGAGCCAATTCACATTATAAAAATGTATATTGTAGCAAACCAAAACTGTATTATGATCTGAAACAATATAGACAGAAGATGACTCCTCCAATTATATTCTTTCTTTTCCATTACCAAGGCCCATCTAGCCCATTTTATTTGCAAATTACAGCTTTCTTACAAAAAAGAGATAAGACTAAAAAAGATCTGTTGGTAATCTATTTTCATGCACTTTTATTTGAAATGAAAAATACTCCTTTAGTCCATGAAGAAGACACCAATGACCCACTGTCAGGCAAAAGGCTGCTTTTTTCCCCAAGAGTAGAGATGAATGATGCTGACCCAATAACATAATTTAACTCATTTATTTTATGATCAAGGCTATACATTTGCCAGACAGATGGCTTGGTTTAGGGTACTGTCTGTCATCATGAAATAGATTTTCTCTAACTTGTTCATATAAGAACTGAATATATAACTTGACCCTATTACCACAAGGTCAAATAAGTGATGTAATTTTCGCTGCCACCATCTATAACCCGAGGCTCACTGCTGTTTTGATTCATGCTACTGATTATCCAAGAATGAGTCACTTAAGAGCCAAATGAGTAGCCAGATTCTAAATCAATTAAAGAGGAACAAGTACTTTCATAAAGGCTTCCTGCAGTCTTAGTTTGGGGATCTCCCTGAAGCAAACCCTGAGATAAGGATTCAAGTGTTTATTTGGGAAGTGATCCTAGGAAACAATGACTGGGTAGGTGGAAAAGTAAGACAGGGAAGAGAAGGCAGCCAAAACAGGGTGTGTTATCAAGCAAGTTACCACTGTCAGTAACTGGAGCTTAATCCCTCCAGGGAATGCCAGTGCCAGTGCATCTCAGAGCTATCCCATAGTAAGCAAAGGATTTGTGGTATTTACACACTGTCATCCAGCTCTCATTAGTTAAGGGCTGCTTAGGAAAGGATACATAGGGGCTTGCATAGGAGCTCTTATTTTTAAAGAAAGCTCTCAGGCTGAGTGATACAGATGCTGGCAGCTGGCAGTTGAGCCTATGTGCATTGCACTGGTAAAACCAAGGGGATGTGGGCATGATGCCAACTGCGTCTGATCCCAACACTGAAGTAAAATTAAAAGTACAACAGCTTGTTTTTTTCAGCCAGTATGAAATGTAAATACTTTTTGATGCTAGTATATGGGATAAGGAGACCTGGTATGGCACTGTGGGATAGAGCACTGGACTAAAAAGGTCAATTTGAACCACAAGGTTGGAGGTTCAATCTTGCCAGCAACTCTTTGGAAACCCTATACAGGATTGCTATGAATCTGAACTGACTCAACAGGACCCAACAAGACAACCACCACCACAATATGGTGTAAAAGAAAAAAAATTCAAATGGCTGTTGTTATTAAGTGTCATCGAGTCAGTTCCCACTCATAATGACCCTTTACAGGGTTTCCAAGGGGCCACTGATGGGTTTGAACCACCGACTTTGAGGTTAGCATCTTACAGCACCACACTACTACCCAGTATTTCCCGGGAAAACATTTAAAATTGATACCAGCTTTTATCCTTTGTATCCTCATCAGTGTGCCAGCAGCACTATCTAAACACCTTTATAAGTGGCAGATAAAGACCTATGCTAAATAGCTCAAGCAGAAATGATCACTTTGAATTAAAACCTTAAGTACATTATTGTTCCAAGGACTGAGGACTGTTATACAAGGGGATTTCAGAAAGTTCGTGGAAAATTGGAATTAAAAAGATAATGGAATTTTTCCACCAATTTTGAAACCCTCTCATAAGATTATTTAAGAATAGTTTAATAAAATCTAGAACTTCCCTTCCATTTAAATTTTACTTTGTGTGATTTTTTTCTTCCTATAATAAAAATGTTCTAGGTCCCCTTCACCCTCTTTAACAATCATGCCTTTATATCGACCTTATAAAAAGCAAACTCAAATGAAACATCTGGGCCGTCGATCCAAAAAGGCCCAAATGAAAGTTGAAAAAATGAGAAAAGCTTATATGAAGGAAAGCAAACAAGATGCTACTCCAGTGACCGTAAGTTTAACTTGTACTGAATTTATTGTTTTAGAAAATATTCAAATTACCTGTAAGTACAATCACTGAGCAAAATTATTTCCACAGTAGAATTTTCCTAATCTGTAAATTTCGTATACACCTTGGATAACATAAAGCTATTTTCATGGGGAAAAAATTTTTTAACAGTATTATTAACTATTTTGATAAATTCCAGTTGTTTTAGCTCCACATCAACATAATTTGGTGGGGGGAGAGTCTCTTTGTGTCAGTACTGTAATTCAGCACATCTCTGATGGTACTTCTCAAATGAAAATAATTTCTATCTAAATATGTTAAGCAACATACTATGTAATAGAAGCCCCTGTATCATAATCCCAGGAGTGGATTATAAACTGGGCTGCTAATTGCACGATCAGTAGTTCTAATCTACCAGTCATTTCAAGGAAGGAATATGAGGCTTTCTGCTCCCAGAAAGATTTACAAACTCAGAAACCCTATACAGCATCACTATGAGTTGGAACCTACTCAGTAACACACAACCACCACCACCACCACCATACTATATAAGGAGTCCTGGTATGGCACTGTACGATAAGCACTGGACTGTTAACATAAGAGTCAGCAGTTCATACCACCAGCAGCTCCTTGGAAACCCTGTACAGGATCACTATGAGTCAAAATTGACTCAATGGCACCTAACAACAACAACAACATACCATGTAAAGTCTGCCTCTGTATATGGGGATAAATTAAAAAGTTAGTGCTACAAAATCATAGAAACCTTGATTTTTAAAAAATTACCAACATGTGAAGCTATTGTTTCTCAATACATCATCCATCTAGGTCTATACACTTTTTTTGTGGGGAAGAGTAGATTGGATAAGGAGTGAGGTTTAGGGTTGGGACTCTGGCTATGTCTCAGCTAGGCCTAAGATTTTGTTTAGTGTTACGATAAGGACTGGGATTAGTGTTGGGTTGGGTTACAGTTAGTAGGCTTATTTTATTTTTTCTTGACATCTATTTGGGTTCCTGTTCTTCTGAAAGTTCTATAACTACATTATTTCCCCTTTTTTACTTTGAGTTTTGTGTGTGTGTCTATTTGGGTTTTTTTTTTTTTTTTTGGTTGCAAACTGTATGGTTCTCTATAGGCCCTAGAAAAATGCCAAGACATATTATAATCAAAACTTTTCTAAACCAAAGACAAGGAAAGAATCCTGAGAGCAGCTCAGGAAAAATGAAAAATTACTTATAAAAGAGAAGTAATAAGACTAAACTCTGATTTATTTTAGGGTCTGTCCTGTTTGGAATTCATTCAACTTCTTGGATGGCTATCGTCTCATCTTTCATGATGTTAGGGTAGTTTTCTTCTAGTAACTTTTGGACAATAATCTCTATGGTATTTTCTCGGTTTCTTCCTGTTCTTGCTTTCCTATTACTTGTAAGTTATTCCTCTTGATAATGTCCCACATAAATCTTAGGCTTTCTTTGGGTTTTTTTGTTCTTTTTTTCTGATTGTTCCTCTATTGTTGTTATTGTTAGGTGCCATCGAGTCAGTACCAACTCATAGTGACTTTATGCACAGCAGAACTAAACACTGCCTGATCCTGGCCCAACCAACCTCACTACTGTTGCCACACTTGAGTCCATAGATGCTGCCACTTGGCCAATCCATCTCGTTAGGGGTCTTCCTCTTTTTCTCTGACTCTCCACCTCACCAAACATGATATCCGTCCTCAGTGACTGGTCCGTCCTGAGAATATGTCCGAAGTATGAGAGACAAAGTTTGGCCATCTTGGCCTCCAAGGAGCACTCTGGCTGCACTTCTTCCAACACAGATCTGTTGGTTCTATGGGCAGCCATAGAATTTCAACATTCTTTCAATATTCTCCTCCAACACCATAACTCAAAAGCATCGATTCTTCTACAGTCTTCCTTATTTACTGTCCAACTTTCACATGCATATGAGGTTATTGAAAATACCATGGCTTGGGTCAGGCGCACCTTAGTCCTCAAGCTGACATCTTTGCTTTTCAACACTTTAAAAAGGTCTTGTGCAGCAGATTTGCCTAATGCAATACGTCGTTTGATTTCTTGACTGCTGCTTCCGTGAGTGTTGGTAATTGATCCAAGAAGAATGAAGTCCTTGACAACTTCAATCTTTTCTCCGTTGATAAGAATGTTGTTTATTGGTCCAGTGGTGAGGATTTTTGTTTTCTTTACATTGAGATATAATCCATACCAAAGGCTGTGCTCTTAATCTTTATCAGTAAATGTTTTAAGTCCTCTTCACTTTCAGCAAGCAAGGTTGTATCATCTGCATATTACAGATTGTTAATGAGTCTTCCTCCAATCGTGATGCCACATTTTTCTTTATAGAAACCAGCTTCTTGGATTATTTGCTCAGCATGCAGGTTGAATAAGCATGGTGAAAGAATACAACCTTCTTGCACACCTTTCTTAATTTTAAACCATGAATATTGAGGATTTTTTTTCAAGCTTGATAATTCGATTTTCCATTCTAATTCTATTTCTTTGTCCTATCTGGCTTTCTAACTGTTGTTTTTGTATGGTTTCTGTTTCTTCAATTATTTTGTCAGTTTGTTTGAATTTTTCCACAGCTTTGTCTATGTTTTCCATGATTTCATCTGTAGTTTTCTCAATCTTTCTCGCAATCCATTGAAGTTGCCTAATTAGCATTCTTTTATATTCTTTATCAGTTAGTTCCAATAACATTTCTGGTGTTACATTTTCTGACTCTGTATTTTGGTCACTTGTTTTAGGCACTCTGTATTGTTTCTTTGAGTAAGCCGAAATTGTCTGTTTTCTCTGTGACACTGTGGTGTCATATTCATATTTACTTAATACACTGGTGTAGTCCTGGTGGATGTGGTAGGGACCTGAAGTAGGAACGCAGTTAGTTCTCTGTTCACTTTTTGTGTAACACAGTTCAGGGCAGGTTCACATGCCTCCAGAAGCAGGGGCACTATGCCAGGTACTCGATCCCAGGCAGAGGAGAAGTTGATCTAGAAGGAATGTCACTAGCCACTGAGTCAGTGAAGACAGGGACTAGCCATATTCCTGGTTACCAGGAAGTCCCAGGCACAAGGGAGAATTGCACACCCTAGCCGCCAACCTCTAACCACATCCTATGCCTACAGGCTACTATATAAACAGCTGCTCACAAAAGCTCAAGATCACTGCACCATGCCAGCCTACATTCTGCCTGTTTCTTTTCATTCTCACTCAGTCTCATGCTTTTGTTGCAGAGGGTCAGCTCAGTGTGTCTGCTTACTCCACCATCTTGCCCCAGATTCCTAGGTCTATACTTTTTTAATGTTTTATTGTGAATTATATGATAGTTTACATGGGAGTACTTTAGT